GGAGGTGTCATGATGACGTGGGGAGTTAATGCCGAGCTCCGGCCGGCAAATATATTGAAAATGAAAGTAAACGCGGGCAATACGTTTTGCTTTTTGAACAAAACCAGCTGAGGTGACAAACTAGAGATGTTAGAGCTGAAGCTCAGATCATCAGAGACTGCATGGGGACTGATGGGGATAGACACCTTTAGGAGCGGCTTGTTTAAAAAAAATGTAAAGATCTCGGCTTCAATCGCAATAAAATGCAAGCTATATTCAAGATGAACGGAAGTCTGCAGCATTGCAGAGACCGACTCCTTATCCCCTTTATGCCGCCATAGCCTAATCTTTTATAAAAAGGACACGATTGTGCCACATCACTGCCACGGTCTGACCAATTATAAATGGCCTAAGGGTCCCTGATGCCACCACAGCGTTGCTGCAAATTAACAGCATTCTTTTGTAAAAATGGCTTTAGGGTCATAAATGAATGCCTTGTGAGTGTCAGGTTCGATGGGCTGAGCTGGAGTGGTTATGAGACCCAGGCGCGGAGAGAATGGTGGATGGAGACTGATATGTGGCAGCGTGGGAAGTTATCTTCCCGTATGGTTCGTAGAGTTAGTGTCTTAGGTCTTAGAATGGCTCGGCGTCTATCGTTAGATGTTGACTGAGTGCCGGCTCCGCTGTGACAGGTCCTTAAATAGGCTCAGCGGGATGACGTCACCGGGAGGCGTCGGTGACAGGCATGCTGGGAACTGGAGTGCAGCGCCAGCCCGGCCCGCAGAGGAGGTTAAGAGGAGGAGTTCATGACAGTGAGTCAATCTCTGTGGGACAAAGCTCTGGCGCTCATGTGTCAGAGGGCTAGAAGTGAGCCAGAGCAGAGGTGAGCAGAGGCTAGAAGGATTTGGAGTCTTTTTTTCCTGATATTTGGAGATCTCACCTCTGATTGGCTAACAGCAATGAGACTCTACCATGGACTCCATTTGTTCTGCAATGTTAATGTTTTATCTTCACGAATAGCTCAAGCCTGAAGGAGTTCTGCTGTGTTGTGGAATGCTAATGGTAACAGTTAGCATCTATTAGCCGAGATGAGCTCTACTCTCTCCTGGACACTAAACCAACAACAGCCTTCCTCGTCGTGATCCACGATGGGTGAGCTCATGAATGCTAATGTGACGTGCAATCATCAGACTTTTCTAATCCAAGCGTTCCCTCGGCTTTTTTCTATCAGCAGCTAATGCAGGAAATAGGGGTAGAAGACTATTTTCAGTGACGATCATTTTTCAAGAAGCAATTATTTCTTAGTGAACTTGGTCTTTAAAAAATAAACTATTTTAGCAACACAAACAATTCTGAATATTTCCGTGAAGTCAAACATGGAAATGGAATTGCAGAACATTGTCAAACAAATAGCCTATCACTGCTGACAGGGGTGTAATAAATCTAATTGGTTTTGCCAATTATTCTGTCAGGTCAGATGTTACTTCCACTTATAGGTAATGTGGTTGCACAGTGTCACAACTGAAGGAGCTTCTCTAGAAAAAACATTTAGCGCTGAAGCAATCTGTATATTAGGATCTCAGCAAGCATCACAGCCTCTTTGCAATCCACAGTGTAAACAAACAGAAGAGCTCTTCAAAGGCTCAGACTCTGACATAATTGGAAAGGAAATGGAGCCAGCGCCGAGCCAATGTTTTTCAGGCTGTTTCATCTCCTGTTAGTGATCCCAGAAGACTGAAACGCTGGACAGGTCCTCTATTGAAGAACTAAATTGTTGGGTTTGTTTTTTTTTTAGTTTTTGTTTGTTTGTTTGATTGATCGTTTCCCATATGGTATTTGTTACTTTATTCTACATATCTTAGTTTTTTTTAAACAATTAAAATACATTATGATCGTATCTGGGTTTTTTTTCCACAAATGAGGGTGAGGTGAGTGAAGATGCAACCTTTTCTTTGTTTTGTGACTGACTGCTTTCTGTAGTTAAGTGTCCAGGAGAAATAAACAGCAAAGGCATTGAGTGCCATCACTGTAGAGATGACAGGATGAGCATGTTTGGTTGTGATGTAATGGTAGTCATTATGACAGCCTGCTGGTGAGGTCTGGTCCTGGGAGGTCTGTCCCGTCCATCTCCAGATCTGGAAAGTCTTCAGCAGTTTGTGGTTATTGGATCATAACTCCGTTTCTCCATTACAGAGACTGTTTCATAAAAACACATTAAAGCTTTTTTTAATTTTAATTTTCAGGTGTTCTTAGCTTGAAATTACAGCTTTCTTCTTTTAAAAGGCTGTAAAACATGAATACCCTGCCCTAGTCGTTGTAGATGGCTCTTTGGACAACTTCAGTCTGGAGAAACTGAGATCAGTCACAATTAGACCAACATCAAAGGATTGCAACCCTCTTAAACTTTCCAGTAGGGATGCAACAATACCACTTTTTTCCAAACTGGTACAATCGATGCTTGGATCTGAGTACGACGAAGTCGCCGATACCGATTACCGATACTGATACTTCAACTACACAAAAAAATGCAATGAATTGGAATACAGGTTTTATTTTCTTCTCTGATTTCAACAGGAAAAGATGGTAGTAGATAAAAAGTAAAATATGAATAAAAATGATCACAAAACTAAAATATTAGTTGAACAGAAATGACAAGTTACAGTGAAGCCACTTTCAAGCAACTGCATTGGCATCGGTTAACTTTTATACTAGTATCGGTATCGGTGCATCCCTACTTTCCAGTTGCCTAAAAATCCATGGAAGTTGGAATTTTGCATTACACGTTTCTTGTGAGCATAAGCAGAGCTATCTGCAGCATTTCAAGTGCAGCCCTGAGCACTTTCAGCAGGTGTATCGTAGGATTTCTGCTAAAAAATTCCTTCGCACTTCTGCCAGTTTTGCAGACTTTCAGTGATCTCCCTCAGGCAGAACAGGAGGTACAACAAGTAACTAGCTTTACTGCAGAATGGAGAAAATGTTTTATAACATAACATTTCAAGGAAACAAAGTGTAATTTTGGAGATTAGAGTTGTTTTAAGACAGCAGGAGGCCACTTTGGTCTTTGTCCTGCTTGGAATAACATTTTGCTTGTCAGAGCTGGCTACTATGACTGTTCCTATCTTCCTTGAAGCTGCCAGTAATTGAACATGACATAAACAAATAGAGAGAATAATGACAAGTGTCATGTTCTGGCCTTCATCCATACAGTTTAATAAATCACTGACCTTCTACCTGTAAACATGCTGGGCTTACATTTTTTTTATTTATTTCATTTTCTTTGTAACAGCCCATCAGCACTTTTTTTTGTTTGTTGATTTGATTGTGTTTATCTGCATAAAAACTGAATTTACAGCGAACTTTATTATTTATGACACATTGGTTAAAAGACGAGTCATCAGAAAGAACAATGCAAAATTCTGGGATTTTTTTATTGTACACATTGTAATATTTTAAAGATCAATGCATCTTTATTTAAATGTTTCCTGACATGTCCATTAAGCAGTGAATCAACACGATTTAAATAGTAAACAAGCAAATCCTCATGTTTTAAAACCTCGAATGGCTTAATTACTCATTTAAACAAGATTTTCCTTATCTTTTAATTGCGTTAATACTAATTACTAATAAAAGACGCGCTGCATTGAAGCTTTTAAACAAGTTCAAATACGAACAAGTCTGAGATAGAAAAGAAAAGAGCCCATTATTCGCTCTGAAATCAGCTTTTTTCATTTTTAATTCCATCGTCTTTCACCACAAGCTGACGGAGCTCAACACGCTGCAGCGTAAGAGACCACAAGAGGCTCGGGGAGACAGAAGCAAAAACAAAAGCACATTAACAAGTTCATAACCTTTGCACTTTAGTTTGAGAAGCAAATTTCAAAACAGCTGAATGTCAAATACACCAAATGCTATTAATTATGTAAAACACACACATATGCATAGATTAGGGATGCTCGATATTGGCTTTACCGATACTTTATTATTTATTTATTTATTTATTGAGAAACTCATTAGCTCACACCATAGTGTGGAGCTATTCTTCCTGAGGTCTCTTTCAATTTCATTACAAATATTTTACAAAACACTCCCATCCACATCCCCCCCCCACACACACACCCAACAACAACAAACTCCAGGAGCTCATTATAAACATACCAGCTCAATTGCTATAATGATATAACAATAAGTTACCACACACTTCAGCGTTCATGAAAAATCTAAATAGGTGAAAACGGAGAGTTATATGCTGTGTTCCCCTCTCATGAAAAGAAAAACTAAAACCTTTTAGCATGCATGCTTCAAATTTAAACATTTTTTGTGCAAAATGACAACTGCTTCAATTTGAGATGGTAATAAGAAAAGTACCATATGTAGTCTCCAACAGCAGCTGAATGTCTTTCTCCTTAAACATGATGTTAAGATGTGTTTTTTAGTTATTTTTTTCTGTATATTGCAACTATGATGGTAAAACATTTATAAAGATCTTCAGATAAGACAAGCAAGTCTTGGGTGAAGATTCTTGTTTTTGTCTTTTGTTAGCTGTTTGGCTACATGTAGCTACTTGCTGTGAGGACAGTTCACGTTCACTACAAAGGGCAAACTTCTACTTCACATGGGCAAAATAAACTAAAATGTGTCTTTATGTATATTTCAATCTATATTTGTTACGTCAGATCGGCCATATTTTGACATTTAGAGAGAGAGGAGAAGTAGTTCATTGGACCGATACCAATATTTTCTGATACCAATATACCGATATTTCCCAATATTAAATATTAATGCCAATATTAATGGTAGGCCGATAACATCAGACATCCTTAGCAGAGATGAAATAGAAAAAGAGATGAGCTTTAACTCAGTGGGAGTGTTTCAGGGACGATTCTGTGCAGGCAGTTTCTCGACTGGGATAGCGTCGAGCATTTGAACCATAAAAAAAAGAGATCCTATAACCCATTCACACATTTGTGCCAAATGAATTGTCTCATTGTTCACCTCTTGTTTCCTCCTTCCTGCTGTAACAGATGCCATGCTGCTGGTGGCACAGAGGCTAGAAGGGCCTTTCAACATTGAATCTGTCATGGAGCCCATTGATGTCAAGATATCAGAGGCCATCATGAATATGCAAGATAACAGCGCCCAAGTCTCCTACAGGGTGAGTCAGGGAACAATGGGAAGAAAAAAGTTCATCATTCTTCATGTTTAAGGTGTGTAACACAACGGGATCTAGTTCTGCTCAAGTGGAAGTCATGTTTTTGAATTACACGTTCCAATTTGGTCAGATAATCACAGTCCAACTAACACTGTTTAACGTGTTTCCTGTGTTTAACTGCATTTTTTCTTTGACCACAAAATTGCAGTTAGAAGGGGAAAAAAAACAGGAAAAAATGTAGGTGGTTGCGTGGAATATTTTTTTCCCACACGGATCTGGATGCCAGTTCCCATTCGGAGCTTGGCGTTTTGTTGGTTTTCTCAGGCAACAGATGCAGTTTTGTTTAGGGTTTAACTATATGTGGTGTTCTCCCCAAAGCTTATAAAAACTAAACAGGAACACCTTAAATAGCGTCGGTCACAGCTCTTAACTAACTGACTGATATGCGGTTACCTTGAGTTGACTTAGAGCCGATGGTGATGTGTAGTGGATGATTCACGGCACCTTAAAAAAAAAAAGATGTTTTCCCTATTTTCTGCATCCAAAGTTACTCAAACCGCTGACAGCTGTGCGCTCGTGTTTTTTGTTAACTGCAGGTTTTCCAAGGCTGTGGCCAGCCAAAACCTGCAGAAATGACGAGGTCCACTCGTGGTGTTTCGGATGTGTTCAGCGCCCGCTTCAGGCCCTACAGCCCAGAGGAGCCGCCTCCCACTGCAGCTGGCACGAGCCTGGACAGACTGGTAGGGACACAAAGCCGATGCTACCGTTTTCAGCTGTGATTCAGCGTAAACATCATTTGTCTTTCTGTCTTGACACTGTTGATTAAAGCGGGTGATTTGCCATCGTAAGCCCCCGGAGCCGGAAATTAATTCTTTGTGCTTGTCCTCTGCTCGAGCCTTGGCTATTGATTTGTGTTTGTTAACGAATCAACGGCTTTACCCCCAAAAGGGCATTGGAAGGTGTGATGCACTGAGATCAGTGCCCTTCTCATCTCTGTGCACTTGGCAAACAGAAAAGAAAAGGGATAAAAGGAGATGGATAGATTTTGTAAAGCCGACCACACAAATTATTGCTCCGAAGCCAGCCTTCGTTTTCAGTTAGATCATCCGAATGTTTGTTCAATAGATTCTTGAGTCGGGTTAGAGGTGACACGACTCACGGTTCAGTTTGGATTAGAAACAGCTTTCAGTGGGCAGATTTCCTTGGTGCCTATTTTCAAAATAAACTTTCAATAAAACGTGTCATTTATTTTTCTATTTTCAGTCATTCATATAAGAAACTAAATTATTATTTACGGTATGCTAATTTATTTCTTAAAGCTGAATGTGCTTAAAGCTTATTTCTTAGTACTAAAGCAGCTGCATTTAGCCATTTTTCTGGCATTTAAAATATTAATAAATGGGGTATTTGTTTAATTTAGTAAACAAATATGTTTTTGTGGAATTTAATTTGTTCTCAAAGCATTTTTATGGTCTTTGTGCAGCAACTGCCCTTTATTTTACAGCTTTGTGTGCCTATTAATTATTTCTGCCACCTACACCGAATTAAATTAATGAGAATTTTCTGCTTTCCTGTCTTAATGCTGCAAACCAGAGGATAGTTTGGAGAACGATGCAGCACAGTGTAAGATTCTATATTTTATACTCATGTTTTTTTTTGTCTGCTGATTTGTACTAATCTGTGCTTTAATGCTGAAAACACATTTTATTTCTTAATATTATTTGGCCTGCTTGTTATTGCCTTACAGTGAATAATGTGTGGAATTTGTTAATCCCAGCGGTATCATATATTTATGAACTGTCATGTTCTGGTTTCAGTTTTACACAAACTGAAATGCTCAATATGAGATCAAGAAGAGACCCCGGCTAGAGGTGCGCATTCACAAACAAAAGGTTGCAAACATGTATATAGGGGAGGGGACTTATTTATTTTATTTTATTTTATTTAACCAGATGAGTCAACTGAAAACTCATTCTCATTTACATCTGGCCAAGAGGCAGCAGCAACAGACACAATTTCACCAAAGAACAACAGACAGAGAAGATAAAGCAGGCAAGATCAAAGTAAGATAAAACAGTTGCACATAAAGACAAAGGAATTAATTATTAAAAGTAGATAATGGAATTAAAGTAGTGAGCTTGAACGATTTTTGCAGCTCCTTCCAGTTGTTGGAAGCAGCAAACTGGAATGAGGAGCAGCTAAAGGAGGTGCAAGTTTTGGGAATAACTGTCACGATACGGTAGGAGGAGGTCGGACCCAAAATGCAGAAACCCAGAACGACTTCAGGCAGTAGAGGTTGTAAGAAAAAAAAATCCTTTTATTAAGGAGGGTGAACAAAATCCAAAAGGCACAAAGAACCTGGGGAACTAGCGGAGGACAAAAACAACGCTGACAACATCAATGGACCGACAACACAGAGAGACACAGGCAGGGTATATATACAGATGCTGGGTGATAGGAGACGAGGGGCAGGTATTTGGGCACAGGTGAAAACAATGAACTAAGGAGAAACAGAAATAAGCAGGGAAAAAACAAATATAATCCTGAAAACCAAAGCTACTGAAATAACCAAACTAAACTAGAAACATAGTAGAAACAAAGACACAGGGTGATCTAAAAAGAAGAAAATAAATGATCTAAGTGGGGAAAGGAAACACACACACACACACTAAAGGAGACAGGAGAACTGAAACACTGATCCAAAAGGTGGGGAGAATGGAGAACATGAGGGAAACCAGGAGGGACAGTGTGACCTCTGGGACCACCGCTGGAACTGGATGCGGTGACGCCGGGTGGAGCTCGGACTGAGGTTGCTGGCGACGGTTACGACGTTGTTGTCGTGTGGAGGTTGAGATGGCGTCAACAGGAACAGGGGAAGAGGAGAAGAAACCAGTTCTGATGGTAGCAGGAGGGTAACGATGACTCGGGGCAGACAGAGTAGACATGGAGGAGGTGACTTGGTGTCCCGGGGGTGTGGAGGCGGAGGCATGAACAGGAGGTGAGTTATGGCCAAAGGTCTCTTGCAGTCGCTTGGCAAACTCCCAGAAAGATACCAATCTGAATGGATGTACCTCAGAATAGTCCATAGCCCACGCCAGGGCGCTGCCACCCAAATTAGACACCATGAAGGAGACCTTGTCGTACTCCGAGGAAGCCAGGTCCAGGTAACGAGCGCAGGCTTCGATGTAGTTACGGCAAGTCTCTGGGTCGCCACAGTACCTGTAGCGATGTGATGTTGGTGGAGTCAAGGGTTCTGCTGGGTCCAGGTGTGGTCGGTCCATTCTGTCACGATACGGTAGGAGGAGGTTGGACCCAAAATGCAGAAACACAGAACGACTCAAGGCAGTAGAGGTTGTAAGAAAAATAATTGCTTTTATTAAGGAGGGTGAGCAAAATCCAAAAGACACAAAGAACCAGAGAAACTAGAGGGGGACAAAAACAACGCTGGCAGCATGGCTTTCCTCTGCCACCGTGATCCGTAATGTTGGTTTTATAGACAATTTTAACATTTTCTGGGGCAGGAGACACCTGTTTGGAGCGGATGGGCTTCACCTAAATAGACAGAGGACCCGTACTCTAACCATGAGCCTGGCTTGTCCACGACCCCCCCGTCTACTCCACCGGCCTCATCTGCTTCCACTTCCTGATGTGTAGCTGGTCCCTGCTCCTACCAACCCAGCCCTGATTTTAACAGTAAATCACATATCGGACTCGGACCTTGCCATACCTCATTCATACCTGTTATTATTAGCAGAGAGCGGACAAACAATCATAAACCAAACAAAAGCAACCTCAATAATCTAAAACAGTTACCAAAAGTCCCACCTTCAGTTAATACAGTCACTCCTTCACCAGTTACTATTAATATGGCTCTTTTAAATGTTCGTTCTCTGCTGGACAAAACGTTTTTAATAAATGACCTGATTTTAGATCGTAATCTTCACTGTCTGCTTTTAACAGAAACATGGCTAAGTTCAGATGCACCTGTTGTTCTCACAGAGGCCTCTCCGTCAGATTTTAATTTTTATTTTTCAACGTGGAGTAGCAAAAGGGGAGGCGGTAATGCTTTTATTAGTTCATCAATACTTTCTGCCAAACCAGTTTTATTTGATCATTTTACCACTTTTGAATATACAGCAGCAGTTTTTAGCTATCTCAGATTTTATGTGTCACAGATTATCGGCCTCCTAAGCAGAGTGCCATTTTTATTCAAGAATTTTCAGAGTTTTTATCAATCCTACACAACTGCTTTGAAAGGATCATTTTAGTCGGTGATTTTAATCTACATATAGATAATCCTTCTGATCCTTTTTCAAAGGAGTTTTTAAATGTTATGAGTTATATGGATTTTAGTCAACATGTCACACAGCCAACTCACAACAGAGGACACACCCTGGACTTGGTCATCACGTATGGCCTGTCCACCCGTGTGTCCTCTGTTATTGATTTGGCGGTCTCTGATCACTACTGTGTATTTTTTAGCATCACCAGTTTTATCCAGCTGGAACCCTCTGTGAGAACCGTAAGGAAGCGTCATTTCACCCCTGAAGTGGCTGCAGGTTTTCTTGAAGTTTTTAGAAAGATCCCTCCCACTCCAGTAACTGCCTCTTGTGATTTTACTGTCAATGATTTTAACAGTAGACTGAAATCCGCTCTCGACCTGCTCGCTCCACTTAAAATCAAAAGTCTATATTCAAAACGTGCTTCACCATGGAGAAATGAAAATCTAAAGAAACTAAAGAGAATTTGCAGGGTTGCAGAGCGGAGATGGAGAAGAACAAAACAGCTATAAATCATCAAATATATGTATAAATATATCTGGACTCAGCCAAATCTAATTTTTACTTGTGTGTGTGTGTGTGTGTGTGTGTGTGTGTGTGTGTGTGTGTGTGTGTGTGTGTGTGTGTGTGTGTGTGTGTGTGTGTGTGTGTGTGTGTGTGTGTGTGTGTGTGTGTGTGTGTGTGTTTGAATATGTCTGTTAATGTTTTTAACCTGTTATGGGAATCTGGGGTCATTTTGTAAAGCACTTTGAGTGGCACTTTGTTTGAAAAGTGCTTTATAAATCAATCTGATTGATTGGTTGATTGATTGATTGATTGATTGATTGACTGATTGATTGATTGATTGATTGATTGATTGATTGATTGATTGATTGATTGATTGATTGATTGATTGATTGATTGAACATCAATGGACCAACAACACAGAGAGACACAGGCAGGGTTTATATACAGACGCTGGGTGATAGGAGATGAGGGGCAGGTGTGTGGGAATTGGGCACAGGTGTAAACAATGAACTAAGGAGAAACAGAAATAAGCAGGGAAAAAAAACTAATCTAATCCTGAAAACCAAAGCTACTGAAATAACCAAACTAAACTAAATTATATAATAGAAACAAACACACAGGGTGATCTAAAAAGAAGAAAATGAAGTATCTAAGTGGGGAAAGGAAACACACACACTAAAGGAGACAGGAGAACTGAAACACTGAACCAAAAGGTGGGGAGAATGGAGAACATGAGGGAAACCAGGAGGGAGCTAGGGACAAAAGGGGCACAGAACATGACAATAACCATAGATTAAGTTACTGGAACGTAAGTTGTGCTGGTTGTTGGAAGTGATGAGTAATGAGATATGACGGTTTTCTACTGATTATTGTTTTGTTTATAAATTGATAACAATGTAACAACCTGTAGGAATGGAGTGATGGCCAGTTAACAAGTGAGTACAGATCACAGTGATGAGTAGTGAAGGGGTACCAGTGATGAAATGTATTGCTGAGTGATAAATTAAATGTCCATGACCAAGGGCGTCAGTTTGTTTTCAGAATTGCTGGGGACAATAACCATACACTTGAGTGGGGTTTAAAAATTGCTGGGGACAATAAAGGCAGGCTTTTTTTAAAGTGGGGGGGACACAGCTGCCAATCACAAATTTTGCCGGGGACATGTCCCCGGCGTCCCCGGTTAAAATGACGCCTATGTCCATGACATTTATAGGACTGCCTTTTTGGAAGCAGTCCTATAAATTTGCTCGCACCAAACCGGGCAAAAGGGCTTTTGTTCACTCTGCTCCTTCTGTGTGGAACAGGCTGCAGGAAAACTGGAAATTAACCAAGTTTATCTCCTTGAATACATTTAAAACCAGATTAAGAACCCTTGAGACGGATTCCCTGTGTTGCAACTGCCTTCTGAAATTTTGTACATAACATGTCTGCGTAACTGAAACATTTGGATCTCAATGGGACCTTCCTGGTTAAATAAAGAAGAAATAAATAAAAGAAATCATGTCACCGTAATCTAAAATGGGAAGGATTGTCATTTTGACCAAGCTTTGCAGAATGAGTAAAGGATGACCTGTTGCGGTATAGAAACCCAATTCTTGACTTGACTTTAGAAAGTAATGAATTGATGTGAATGTCAAATGAAACGGTGCAACACATTTTTTTCTGCCTTTAGATGGCTTCAGATTTGTGCTTCAACAAAGGTTTAATGTGAAAACTGACTGGAAATTTTAAACGGTGTGGAGGATGGTCAAAATGTGATCAAAAGCCGATTTGCCAAATTGGTGATAAACATTGAGATCAAATATCAAACAACCAAAAACCCGTCACAGATTGGGT